AAATTGAGTCACCTTTCCAACCAACCACAGTAGACAACGGGCCACCTAATATATATATATATATATATATATATATATATATATAACATAGACCGGTTGACTACGACCGGGTGCATGTTCCGTTTCAAGACAGACCAGTAGCAAAAGAACGAGCGAGTCAAACAGGTTAGAAGTGAACAAAAGAACCATGATTCCGGTCAGTAACAACAACGTTTATACCCGAGCAGAAGGCAGAATGCTAATGGTGACCATTTTTCATTTCGTATTTTATTATAAAGTTAAATTATAAACTCTAGAAAGAACAATATCAACAATACAATTGGCTAGAGACCTAGCGTAAACGAGAACAAAAAATAAATGAAAATAAGCGAACCAATGGTAAGTCGGAACCAGGTAATAGTGCATCGGAAAATGTCCGGTCAATGCATTCGTGTGTGAATGCGTGAGTGTAGCATGAAATGCTAACCAAAGTTGGATCCCAAACTGCAACAGCGCGTCATCACAAGTTTTGAGCGTTTCTTGTCAATCCGGAAAACTAAACAGTTTTAAGTCGTGGACCCAATAACAGGCGACCACCACCAAACAAACGGGCACCGCTTTCCGAGTCCACTTGAAAAGGGTGGCCTATCTGATGCAACTTCAGTTTCAAACTAGGCCGAGGTAATGAATCCTGCGGGATTAGAGAGAGAGAGAGAGAGAGAGACAGGATGAAGATATTAGGGGAGAAATCGTATGGAAACTAGACAACGGAACCAAACGGAGGGCAAACAATACTGCTATCATGTATCGAAATAGATTGATCAGTTGATCGCCCACGATAACAATGCTGATTGCCAATTCCTGGGTAGCTCGAAAAATGTTGGAACTAAGCTGATTGCTGGGACAATTGGTAAGTGATTAGAGTATCACCCAGTCAGGTGCGCATTCGCAACACACCGGCGATACAGAGTAACCACGCCCAACAGCGTATTATGAAAGGAAACATTTTGAATCGTACCCACAGAAGGGATGCTCAACTGCATGCTCCAGTGGTAACACTCCTAAAAATGCTTAATCTTGCCAATTATTCTGTTCGTTCGTAATATAGACCTTAATGACTTCTTGTTAATTGAATCGAATGCGATGCAAGGGTTGCTGAAATAAGCTGTAATAAATTGTTAGAATTTGCAGTAATGTTCCAGAAGCCTGCGTGCGGTTGAATTCCCAAGCCCCCTGTTTGATTGGGAAACAAACAAGCTTTCCGGAAGTGGGACCCACAAAAGATATGAGAACAAAAAGAATCCGCTGACAATGATATCAACGGATTCGCATGAACCAAGTCGACAATAACCCATCCAAACGAATACGATAGTCGTTGGAAAATAACTGTGTATGTTTGGTCTTGTTGAGTCCCCACGAAAAGCGATCACTCAAACCAAATATGAAGACGTGTGTGTGTAATCAACTCAACCCTCAAGTGGGTTTTGAAAAAAATCTTCCATTTCAAAAGTTTGAAATTAAAATGCTTACGTATTTCAAAATAAGATAGCTCAGAAGCAAGACAAACAATTCATGTGAAGAAGGGGAGGTAGTATTTTCATTACAATCTTTTGACATAATAACGATAGTAGTTGACCGAGGATTAACTGTCTCCTTTCATCGCTGTCGGGTCCAAAAAACTGATTGAAGACAACATCTGGGCAAAATTCACTTGATTATTCTGGTCAGCCTCAGTGGTGATGCGACGGTTCCGGAGTTCAAATCCCGGATGACACGATTTACAAGTGATTGGTTTTACTTCCCTTTTCTTTAATGAGTATACAAATGTATGGTCAACTTTCAGGAAGGCGGTTGCGGCCATACAAAGACTGCCTTTGGAGATACAAAGGTGGGGAAGATGGGCGATGGTAGTGAGATTCTAACTCAAGACATTCAGGTCATTATTTTGATGACTGTATCACTTGATCAACATAGCCCACTAGGCGATAATGACGAGTTATAACATAAGCGATATCCGAGTCTAGTCATCCTAAATGTATGCTTGACAGAATCGACCGAGGACTGTGCTCGAAAATGGAATCCAAAGAACGGTGAGTCAGATCGATGTCACTCATCTTACTCTACTAATCACAAGTGACTGTGATTTGAATATACGATACATACAGTACAGCTCACTGTCATCAGTGTCCAACGAAACAGTAAATATACTACTCACCTTGAACGAGTACGCCATATCGGTGGAATATTTGGCTTGGACTTGGAACGTGGCAAACAGACAAACAGCAGAGGCGACATAGAAATATACGGAAATGCCCATCACTGTGATCACCACATCGAACAGCGCGAACACGAATGATTGAGCCAGCGAGGTGACAGAAATTGCAATCCCGACAGCCCAGCACCGTTTGTCAGTCGGGTACATTTGATTGACTAGAAGCAATGGGATCGGACCCCAACCGAGCCCGTGAGCAAACAAGCCTAGCGCGATGAAAAAGATCAAGTACGGACTGACCGGTTTTAGCTGTGGTTGCTGTTCCAGTGCCGGGCAGAGAATGAGACAGTATGGCCGGATTGGGTTGGAACGAGGGGACAAATGAGTTAATTCATAAAACTTTCTAAACTAGTGAATTTAGAAATACAAGAATAAATTACTTTCGACAAAAATGGTAGAAGGAATAGAGTCCGTCTATCATGAGAACAGCCTTGGTCCTCAAAAAGACTCAGATTCCTTCGAGGATGAGCGAGGCTACGCTCTTGACCCAAGAAAAGGTCTTACAGAGTGACCGCCATAAACAATTCGTTGAAATAGTTTTGTTCCTTGAAGCGAGAAGACGCATTAGTTTAATGAGGCCTATGCAACCTATGCACAAAGGGAGGCTGGAGAGCCCTGATTCTAAACCGATCAAGAGGCGTACCAAGTAACTCAGGGATACTCTAATCGATAAGATCACCGGCTGAACTGATAGACAGCGTATTGGGGGTTTATAACTTTTCCAACTGAAGTTGTCTGAATATCATTTCAAGATGTATGTGTGTATAATTCCAAGTTCACCTTTGAATATTGTAAGAATGAGTCAACCGCTGTCTCCTACTACTCACGTAGTGTCAGCAGTATATCATAACAGCAGTGCCGCTATATTTTCCCCTCCAAAATCATATATGGCCTAATACTTACTTAGTTATTGAACATTTTCATGTTTTCTGATCGGTTTCGGCAATCACCACATTAAGAACGACCATGCTGGTGAAACTGAATTGAGAGATTGGAATACCCTACAAATCTTGCACATTTTCTGGTATTCGGTTAACTTCATTTGATAACAGGGTTGTTTGAAGTCAGTTCGTATTATCCACTTCTGAATGTCAGGTGGAGGAAGGGTTTTAATAGAACTGTATGATTTCAGCGATAAACATTATCAAATTCAGAGTCTATGATCAGAAAAGTGCATTTAGAACCTAGAATTTTTTTATGGAATTCCATAACTATCATAAGATTTATATTTCGACAGCCCTTGTTACGTTAATTCAATCCAGTATTTGAAAGGTAAAAATTTCGTTGGTGCTTTTGAGGCGCTAACCTAGAGATAGAATATGAACTGCAAGCGGCGCACAAATTGTATGTGAATCAGGACATCAATGACGTGTATATCGATCGAGCGTGATCGATTGGTGTCACTGTTGTCGCTTAAGGCATAGCTCATGCATTCCATTGCATCATGCGGTGTGTGTGAGGAATGAGTCCAACATTGTTCGCGCATGATCCATTGCTGTCGGCAGAGCTCGACATGATTTCTCATTGGAAGGGGACGAACACATACACAGAAGAGTAAGCGTAGTAGCAAGGTAAACAACCAAGATGTGTGATGGAAATTGAGGGGTGCGAGTGCGAGACCGAGGCTCGTCTCACAACCGTCTGTCTTGCAACTCAACAAGAGGAGGAGAAACCTGTATTGCATGTTGGTTATCCAGGCACCGATAGGAGGCTTAAACCACAAATGGGCCTGGCAGCGCTGATCAGGTCAACGAGACAACTTGAACTGATCTAGAGCCAATTTTGGAATGATACTCCGATATCTTGAAAGGATATTTGGACATGAATTGTAAAAGGTATAGACATGCCGAAACCCAGACGTAAGATCCATCTAGCTAGACAACTGCTACAAAAGAATTGCGTTTTTCTCACACCGCTTCGGTTCCTCCGGCCAGCCGAATGTTTCCGCTGTTTCCCTATGTTCCCACCAGACATGGTTAATGCTTCGGAGACATCGATCGTAGAATACAGAAAATCGACTAGTATCCTCAACGAGGAGGGGCCAGTTCTCCCAACCGTGGCGACGTACACCGTTCCTTTAAGGGACAGTCGGATGCCATGTCAGATGATTTCAACGAACGCAAGGTTCCTCATGTATTCATCCAGGCAGCTAATTTATCTTCATGTTAGCGAAATGCTCCTAATAGTAGTAATAAAACATCGACAGTGTAGATGATAAAAAAAACCCATTAAGTTCAACCTCATAGTTCCGTATCTCAGATAACTAGTAAATGACTGAAACCGCGCAATCATGCCCACTGATTCCACAAGTGAAGTTCTTTAGTTTAAAATTTTGCTCCTTTTATTTGTAAAGATGATGTTTCATAAAAATAAAAATCAATGGAGGTTAATAAAGTACCAGTTGGGAGAAAAAAGAGAATGTGAGTAACACTTATTCACTGGCAAAATCTCTAAAACAGCTGAATGCAGTGGCATCACTAGAGACACAATAGCAAGCTGCCTCATGGACAGGCACCTACAAGAATGTGAAAATTTTATTGCCAAATTCCTCTCAAACACTCATCACCTATTACAAAACGAATTTTCAAAAGCTGTATCGACATCATCCACACGCT